TGGAAACTTCTTAGTTGTCAATGAAACAATTTGGCAATATGTCAATTAAGTTTGTTTGTTTTCTGGTATTTTCCGTAGATAATCACGACTAGTAGATATGCCTGTGTGGTCTGTTTGGGTACTAGGCAATAGATTAAGTTTCTTGAACGTGAAGATCATTGTTAAAGTCAATAGAGAAAGACGCTGATTTATTGCTTGAGTCATAATAGCATGATGCATACGCTACACACGCTCAATAATACTTCGACCCAACTGGTAGATACACGGAAACCATTTGACGTTATCACAGCTGTGCAAGTAATCCTTTGTTTCCTCTCTCTCTCAGATGAAGTTCTCTATCCTCCCAAGAATAACGATTGCTTGCCAAAGCTTAACGTGGACTCACGTTCTTACACTTTAAAAAAGTCTTGCTCGGCAAACAAAGTTCATCTTTTCCATTTATTCGGGGCCAAAGAATGCGTCGTCCGGTTCTCATCTTCAGAAGAGGCGTCGGAAATATCCATGGTTTTAAGAGCTAAGGTGTTGGTCTTCTCCCATTCTTTCTGCATCATTTAGAAATACAGGGCAATCTGTTTTTATTTGCCACGCTCAAAAGTTTGCTTCGACAGAAATACATCGCATAATCGTGCTAGAATTTTAAACAAAAAAATACATAGTAGATTGCCACATCACATTTAAATATTGCTTCTACGGATTGGTTTTATCGTATGCAAATGAATGCTTCGGTAAAAGTTATCTAGACCAGACTCATTTGCAGGCTGAATAAATATTAAAAATCGGCCTAAAAAGGGGATATAATTTGCACGTGCGGGCAAACTGGACCCTCTATGGCCGGCAAAATCCTCTGGCCAATTAAATCCCCTTTTTTAGGGCGATTTTTTGTATCTATTCAGACTGCAAAGGAGTCTGGTGGAGACTAGAAGTTATCCTGCATTCTGCACAGTTTATACCGGAACATATTGAACGTTTTAGGACAAGTCAGACAGGGCGTAATCTCCGCCGGAAGACATCCTTTCAACACCGGCTGGCTTCGGAATCTCCGTCGCCGAGATAATCACAGACTCCGAAATTCTATCGGACACAGATAATGTAAATATCTCTGATACCGGCTGGATCTCTGCTGATAGCCAACTGTCCAAGTTCTTAGATTTAATGTTTATCTGTGTTAGTAAGATTTATTCTGAACTGTAATTTCCTATACAAGAGAAACGATTTGGACTGAATGGCATCGGTCTTTGTCAGCGAATATGCGTAACTTATCTCCGAATAGAGACGGGGGACGCAACAAACTTCCTGTAGCTTTTGACCTAACATCACAGAGCCACGTGTTCTATTTGCATAAAGCGACGCTGTAACCGCAAAATAAACGGATAAAACCACAAATACTAAATATTAGTATACATTTTTGTTTTGAGTGACCCTACATTTTCCAATGAACTTTTTGTGTTCGAACTATTCTAGCGTGAAAAATCAAAGTAAACATCCTATCATTATATTGTGCATATTACTGACATAAATGTCTCTAAAGACCAATTCTGTACCGTATTATTACTTCAATTATTAACTGCTTATGTACGCATGGATGGTTTATATGTTATAAGTGACTAACTTGTAAGATTTTGTCATCACGTCAACAAGATGTCGTATTCAGTGGACTTTTGTGTCCGCATATTAAAAGATTTCTTTGTTTCGCATAACCGGTAAACCGCCTTTACTAACAAACCAGTTTCTTACAGTAAGTACAAGCTGTGTAAGACCGGACTATAAGGTTTGAACCACTGACACCGGGAAGGTCCCCTACTCGTTTCGATACGTGTGGTGGGTTTTTTAACGTGCGTGGGGTGTGGCTCAGAGTAGATAAAGGTAGATAACTTGACAACATATCCCAAGCAGCAAACTTATCAATACACATCGCAAGTATGACATCAGTAGATGATTTACAAAGGGAACCTCCTTAATTATCATCGATGAAGCTTTATAATCATATCTGCCTCATTGTCTTCAAGCGGCTATAAAATAACGAGTGATTACACCGGTTCATTTCACCCGTCAGACTCATTTTTGTCAGGATGCACCTCTCCATTGCCGTCCGACCTTCAGCTGAATACACGCTCATGGTGGTGTGTATTGTGCACATATTCATCACATCAGATTTTCCATACCAATTATCACCTGATTGCACTTTGAATATATTTCCCAATGGTTCCGCCGCATATAGCTAGAAAATGAAACGCTTAATATCCTTGAGTAAGAGGATAATCCAGTCACGCCCCTGTCGGCTTGGAGTATGTTTATTAAAATATGCAATTTGCTTGCTAAACTGCTCGTGGATCATACTTGCCTAATTTGAAGTTATATGCTTCACCGTTAGACCATGTGCATGCATAACGTGTACATGTAGATGGCATTTTGGAAAGAACTTCGTAAATAGACTGTGTCCAAATATATGCACTTCAAAAATGAATACCCATCGAAGAGCAGTTTTAGTCATCAGTTGGCAGAGATGCTCTACCTTTTCTTATTAGATCGCCCAAAGCTATTTTTGAACTGGAATTACCCTACTAGGTGACAACTGACAATGTAGTGCTAACCAAACAGCGATATCTATGACCCAGATGCGTGTGTTTGGCCAGTACGTATAACCACTACAGTCAAAGTAAAGCTGCCACTTTTACATCTGGAACGTTCGAAAAGCATCCCTGATCTCGTAACTAAATCACTTCGTGTAAAATAATAGTAAACGGACCGTCTTCACACAGCATTTAGTACCGGTATTGTCACTGCTTACTAAAGATACATGGGCAGAATTACCCCTCTTTTTACCTTTAAGGAAAACGGAGCTCTTCTATGAGGCAGACCATTGATCATCAAGTAGATCTGTCCTGTCTCTTCAAACAAGGTAGTAAGAAGGGATTTGTGTCGGGACATCACAGTGACTTACTGGTCGACGTATAAAACTTGTTGTTCAGGTTTCTTTTGGCAACAATTGAGATTACTACATATAGTATATGTAGGTCAGATGTTTCAGCATCATCCATGATCATATACGATAAGTATACAAAGACCCCACCCCAATAGAACTAAGCACAAACGGCCAACACATTGTCGATATCTGAAGACTCATATCATAAAAGGCAAGTATACTACTGTATCTGTGTTTTTTTACAAATTGGATTCTTTTTGTTTAATTTGTCTTCACATTATGTGTAAGTGGTGGCGTTGAAACAAGTCTTAGATACATGAGTGCGCTACCACTCTGTGTTGTACTATGTTATACTGTGTGAACAATAAAAAAAGGCAAGAATACTACAATGTAGAAAATTTCAAGTGTTCAACCACTAGCTATAGATACGTGTACTGAAATTAATAAATATTTACGTTGGAGACTCCCGTCTGGTGTTAGCTTGCCTGCTGTTAGTTTATAGTCAATGGGACACAGTCTTTAGAGACTGATTCCCAAGGGATATGTAAGACATATTACATCTTTTGATTGGGGATGGTCCATATGTCATGAGCCTGGTCCCCATCATAAAAAACTGAAACCTTCCAAAAGAGTAGAAGTATTACAATACTAGCCAACAGTTTTTAGATATCGTCCGAAGTAATAAATTTACAAGTAATAAATGCTATGATTTAAAAACTTTACACCTACGCATTTAGGAAAAAATACATGACAGATTACATATTTTTACTAGTACGGTATTCCCTGGATACTACAACTCAATCATTCAACTAATTTTGCCACATGGTGTTCGATCTGAGAATCCATTTATTATGCGTTTATCGTGCCCCTTGTTTCTACCATCGCCTTCAATTAGCAATTAGATCGATTGCCATCTATGAGAAATCTGCTGTAATCTGGTGCAAATTAGCCCTGTTGATTTCATTACCCCAATCAAAACACGTACGGCATCCCATTTGTAATGTGAATAAGGGATGTATGCATCTAGTGATATTCAATACTTAGTACAGGTGTTCTTCACTTACCAAAGTATCAAGTTTCATATTATAACTTTGGGTTTGGGTGAGTCCAATTCCTTGTGTTGGAAATTACAGTTTAAACTTGCTGCATAAGTTTCATATTATACAAAAGCCAATAGTTAAACACTGATACAACTATACGGCCTTAATATAATCACAGTCTTATCATGTCACAAAATGATAAAGATAACTAGGTTCAGTAAGATAATTCTTTCAATCAGTGACTATTAATCCTAAGGTACATACCTCCGAATTTTCGACGACTAGTCAGTTCGTCTTGGTCACGGAATAATCCTAGTCTCGCAAGATAACGCGAGACTAGGACGAGACTTGCGTGGATCTTCTGCCCCCCTCTGCCTCCTTGCGGAGTAGAGGTAGGTAGGGCTTAGGCAGCTCCCAGCCTTCGTTGCGGTTCAGCTTGGCTCCCACTAGTTGGATGTGTATGGCCTCCTTGATCTTCCGATGTGCGTTGCGGGCTTCCTGGTCGATAATTTCGATCGTGTCTAGTATAGGTTGGGTGGTGACCCTATGTCCAGTCTGTAACTGGTGTTGACTAAGTGCCGACTTGTAGTCCTTACGGTCAATCGACTTCTGATGTTCACCTGACCTTTCCCCCAGCGATCTCTCTGTTTCTCCCACATACGTCTCACCGCAGTGTTCGCAGACAAATTTATAAATGACACCACACTTTTCACTCGGATCTAGAGGATCTTTCGGGCTCACCAGGGCATTCCGTAGGGTGTAGCCTGGTTTTGAAAACAGGCTAACATTGTGTTTGGCAAACACTCGTTTCAGTCTTTCTGTAGTCCCTTTAATGTAGGGGAGTACAGCAAAGCTGGAGGGTGTTTGTCCCCTGTCTCCACGTTGTGTGTCCTTGTGGTTCCTCTGCTGTGTTTTTCTGGTGTCACCTTCTCTAAGGGCCCAGTCCGGATAGCCGCAGTGACGGAGTGCGTTCCTCACTTTCCCTTTCTCTACTTCTCTCAGGGTGCGGTCCTGAATGAGAGTGTCTGCCCGGTGCATTAAGGTTTTAACAATGCCGAGTTTCTGCTGGATGGGGTGGTTGGAGGACCACTGTAGGTAGTGGTCTGTGTGTGTCTCTTCCGGTAGACATCCGTGGTGATGGTACGGTCCTGGTTCTTAATCAACATCACATCTAACATGGGGAGGCGACCATCTTGTTCTCTCTCCATCGTAAACTTAATACTGTCGTGTTGTTGGTTAATATGTTCAAAGAGTTCTTGCTCATGTGCTTGCTGGTTGACTATCCCAGTGTCATCCACGTACCTACCCCAAAACTTGGGGCGGTGTGGGGCTGTGTCCAGGGCTTTCCTTTCAAACTCTTCCATGAACAAATTGGCAAGCACGGGGGATAGCGGGGAGCCCATTGCCATACCATACGTTTGTTCGTAAATCATGTTGTTGTACTGGAAATATGTGGTGCTCACAACCAACAGGAGGAGATCCCCAAATTCCTCAGGAGTGAGCAGGGTACGACTCTTCCAGCTAGGGTCCTCCTCAGCCCTCTTAACCGCCATCTGAACCACCTCTTTCCCCGGGACACTGGTAAATAGGGCTGTGACATCAAAAGAGGTCAAAACATCCCCATCCTCCAACTTAACTTGTTGGATTTTGGTGACCAGGTCCTTAGAGTTATTGATGTGTTCTGCAGTCTGTCCCACTAAGGGCTTAAGGAGGTCTGCTAGGTGCCTTGCTAGATGGTAAGTTATAGAGTTGATGCCCGACAACAATAGGTCTCAACTTAAGTGGATCTTTGTGGGATTTTTGGTGTGGCATAGAACCTAGGGGTGGCATCTGAAGTGGGGTAAATCTTGTCATATACTTTTGGGTCGAGATGTCCTGCCTTCTTTATCTCCCTCAACTTCCTCTGTAATCTGCCCTTGAGTTTCTTGGTGGGATTCGTGGGCCCGATAACTTTGTAGGTATTCTTGTCATCGAGCAGTTTTTCACATTGTGCTACATATTCTGTTCTGTCCATGACTACAACAGCCTTACCTTTATCGGCAGGGAGGATGACGATGTCCTTGTTACCTTTCAGTGACTTAATGGCACGTTTCTCCTCCTTGGTAAGGTTAGGCTTCGGGGGTTTGGCATTCTGCAGAATGCCTACTACCTCGTTCCTCAGTAGCGATGCCTCCTCTTGGTCAAGTTTCTGGCAAGCGACCTCGGTGGCTGTAACGATCTCCTTGACGGGGATCGTGTCGGGGGTGACCGCAAAGTCTCGTCCTAGTCTCGCGTTATCTTGCGAGACTAGGATTATTCCGTGACCAAGACGAACTGACTAGTCGTCGAAAATTCGGAGGTATGTACCTTAGGATTAATAGTCACTGATTGAAAGAATTATCTTACTGAACTTATACTATACGTGACTGATGAATCTCTTCAACAAAAAGATAACTAGCTGTTTAATATAAAAAAAATTTCCGATGACCAATGACCTGAAAAACAAATTTGTACTAAAAAAAATATAAAAAAATAGTGTATTATCTGAAGTGGAAATATTACCATCACTAATCCTGTGTCTCCATGTAAGTAAGTGTACCCCTACTACTGAATATGGCACATCTGACAGTTAGGGAAGGAGGGGGGCGTAACGGATGATCGATAGACTTGATTATTAGGTTAGGTCACATCTGTGCCTGTCAGGAGGGGACATGAAGGGCGACCAGCAAACCCAACGGACCGACCGAGGCCTTCGCTCTCATGTGGTGAAGGGGCTAATCTGGGACAGATGGCTAAAAGTCATTGCTAAATGTCCATAAATACATTAACGTTGGCGATCACTCTGGAATTGTAATCATTCGTATACATTGTTTGTATTTCATAATCTCGAGATCACTGTAGGCTGTTGTGCGATTTTGATATCGTAGATTTTCAAGTTTGTCATGATAGAACCAACCGCCGACAAGGATCCTGGGCAGCCTTCCTGTGAGGAGACAACAGTCGGGGCATCATCACTAGAAAGCTTTAAACAACTTCTGCAATTAAATGTGCAACGATTGAATGTAACAAGTCGTTCGGTAGGACGGACACACGTACGGTCAACGTCATAGGCATTGATCAGGTAAACATTGCCATCATCACCTACATTAACACCGTGACCGTATACGTGTATCCCTACAAAGTAGTCCTAAATCTACGGCAGTCTGGGGTGTAGTAAGATTTATGATAGCAATAAAACATCAACAATGAGCAAAAGGCATCGTCATGACCTAATAATACAATGCGAAATACATGTGATGGTCAATGAAGGCACATTTCTGGCCAATAACCCAAAGGTTTCTATTTTGCTCCGATTGAGAGAAAACTAGAATGCCTCACTATATATGCATGTGCCGTTGTCAGAACCCTGTCTATCATATGGCCATTACCACTGACGAAAATTGGCAGGTATGTACTTGATGTGATTAATTGTCTTGCCTTTAGAAACCTTGACAACTTGATACGTAACCAGCACGAGGCCAAACAGTAGGACCATAGGGCCCCACCCTTATTACCTGGATGGTGTCGCGGGAATGTCTAAATTAGACTCCATTTGACGTCCACCATTTATCAAGCGGTGATTTCAATTTGTACTATGATCTCTGAGTTCAGGGTATGGTCCATAAACTTTCCATTTCCAAGCAGTGGTGTAAGACGCTTGGCTAGCGTCTGACCTGTGTTATTGCCTCTGTCTTCTCCCTCATGTACGTCACAGGGTGAGAGGAGTAATTGTAGGGCAGAGAACGTCGTCTCAGAGGAGGGAGACTTTATTTTGCTGGAGGTGGGGGAGATTTAGGCTAGACCGTCGATGAGTAGCAAAAAAGCATCTTCTCAAAACGCCTTTGATGCACCATATTTGTTAGTTATCATCAGATAGATTTAGAGTTAGATGTTCAAGGGTTAAATGTAACAAGTCGTTCGGTGTAATGAAGCCAGCTGCCACCGCGCCGCGTGCCTGCGAAGTTGGTGTGTTGCGCCGTTGAGCGGTTATACCGGCAATACAGATACAGATATTTGACTGCGTTAACGGCTACATTTTGGATGGAGCCAGAAGAAACATCTTCCACGACATTGCCGTCCAAATCATCAAAGCCCCATTCAAGTTTTACTGCAACATCTATTTACAATACACGGTGCTGACACTGTCAAGTCACTGGCTTTTTTATACGCCATCACGAAAACATGAAACAACACAAAATGTAAAGTAAGGAATCCAAATAACAGACATGTAAGATAATTGTCTATTAAATGCGAGGTCCATGAAGTGTCCCTTGTACGTCAAGTTGAAAGATATACTATGTATATAACATAATCCAATGTAATATTAATAAGCCAATACCATTACAACCAGATGCGGAATATATATACGGTAACATCTGAATGTAAGAAAATTCCAATATATGACGTACGGCTAGCTTATATTGTTGCATTAAAAGAGTTTACACCTTGCTGGTCGATACGAAGAAGCATGTGTCATAATTGAAATAAATGACCATCCTCAGACAGGTGTGAGCTCACTAAACGCCCGCGTGGGACCAGAATCGTAGAGGGGAACCTACGCCAGGTGATCCCGTCCGATCCACCTGCCGTCCTCGTCCGTCAGAACAAAATCTTCCCGCTCTTATAAAAAGGAATATCAGAAGAAACATTCGTCATTCAGCGAAAATTGTCCACCTGGCACTCTGGCGTCATTAATCTCCGGTATTCTAAACTATCACGGAGGAACACCGGTGCCGTGTTTATCCGCACACGGGGGACTACAGGTGATCGATGTCGGCGTTGATTTGTGAAGATTTCAGGTCATTCGGGAGACCGCTCTGATTGTACTGTTCCATTCTGATTCCTTGTCATTGACCATGGAGCGCACTGTGGACTTCCAAGGACTGAACCAACGGAATATGGCATTTTCTCTTGGCGCCCTGAGCGTTATAAAGCTCCAACCTTCTAGTAAAAACTTTCAAAAACGTGTTACATAGTCTGTTATCAATGAAGAAAATTTAATTAATGATATATATGATTTGTTGGCACATTGGTGTCGTGGGACATGGAAAAGTTTGCTGTTCCATTCTGATTCATTGTCATTGACCATGTAGCGCACTGTGGAACTTTGTACCTGGCAGTTTTCGAAATAGTGTACAACTACATTAAACTACATTAAACTAATGTATATGTACAGTTTAACGTAGTTGTACACTATTTCGATCAAATGCAAAAAAAACATGTGAACTAAACCAAGCGTATCCTTGTGAGTGTGTAACTATGCTACTTATACATGGTACAACTGCATATTGGACGTTGTACTTGTTCGTGGGAATTATTCAGGCAACCATTCATATGGATTTTTGGTGTATGTATATTGATGTGTGTTTCTCCTTGGTGCTGACGGGTCATCCGTTACAATAGCACACCTTCACACGCGCACTGAGCCGTTCACAAACGGATCTGACGACGCTCACAGCTCTACTAAGGTTTTCACGGTGGAGTTTTTACGCATAACGCGACTACTACTTCGTGTTATCACCCGGGCTCAAGCACTCTCCGTCTCATACAGACTGGAACTATTGCCTTCCAAAAACGGCACCCGAGCGGCTTCCGACTCGGAAAGGTCATCTCCTCGCTGACACGTTCCGACTGGAGCTCAATACGATTTCACACGCCTGACGAGCTGTGTTTGCACCACCACATTAACAACATCTTCAAATTGTCGACTGAAGCCAATGTAATATTTTCTCTCTTCCGATAGATTGAGTGTACCTGTATCTGTATAGATATAGCCGGTCTAGCCGTCCATCGGCGTAACACACAAGCTTCACAGGCACGCGGCGCGGCGGCAGCTGGCTGCATTACGAACGACTTGCTACACCTAACTCTTGAACATCTAACTCTAAACACTGTTTAAAGCTATCTACTAATAATGTCCCTACTGTACTTGGTAACAGAGAGTTCCACAGATAGGCCTAAGAAAGAATGGGTTTTTGAACATCCTTGGTTGATAACTCTGGTACTTGAAGGCATGGCTATTTCTTGTTCTTTTCTGAGCTAGTATTAGGTACTTAGTAGTTAGTATATACACCAGCTGGTACATCGTCTGTTAGTATCAATAGGAATCAATGAAGAAAATTTAATGCCACTATCATGATATCGTACATTTTGGTACATTAATGTCATGGGACATGGAAAAGTTTGCAATTTCATGTCTTTTATCACTATGAACGAACATAAAGTATATAATGTGCACATTTTTACCCTTTTGACACTGTAGTCCAAGATGATCTTATGGCGCTAGCTAACAAGGCCAAAGATAACAACATAAATCATGAGTTCTTAATGAAGTCTCCAGGGCCGACTCACTGACGACTTGGCAGAAAGTCGTTACTTCCGCGAAAGGATACAGTCGAATCGACAAAATACGTCGATATCGTTGCCGTGGAGGGTCACACAATTGATATGTTATAAGATTAATCACGCAATTACACAGGTTTTGCTCGGCGTCCAGATCACTTGTTTTTACAGTTAGGACCCTTGTTTAAGTTTGTCTGACAACTAAAGCCTTGATTTGACCTCGCTTAGGGTGGCCTTGCGAACAATCAGGCAGCACTAGGCCTTAAAACTGCCGTAAGTACTCGCAGATACCCGCGCATCCCCTGCCAAAGCCACGGACTATGTTTTAAAGCTACAAATATGTCCACGGAGCGTTTTTGTAGAGTACCGTACACAAGAAATAAGTTGTTCAATCGATACGGCAGTACAACTGTAAAGTGTTCTTTTTGACAGGTTCTGTCGTGAAATTAATCAGACAAAATCGATGCCAGCTCTTTTCTTGGCAAGCTGTCTCGTCTGAAGCCCAATGGCAGCGTCGCTTGTATTGATTGTAGGAAACTGTACATGAAACACTGCACAGAATAACAGCTTGTGGCCAATCAATTGCACTGTCCGGCCCCATATTTCATCCAAGTAAGTGACCATTTAAGTCACCATACGTAAGATTTTAGGCACACTCAAAACTTTTAACACTATCTAGCAACCTTTAAATGGTGTACGATCAAGGCAGGATATTTACTACCGTCATGAAACAAAAATAAAATTATTTCTTAACTACCTTCTTTCACATATTTTATATCTATATGCAAAGTGATAACTTGCTACGTAGCTACACCTGCACTAAGTGGTGCGAAAGGAATAAACGGTGGCAAACCTTAGGGCTGATGAATTGAAATGTATATATATTTCAGTGATAATTCAAGTTCATCGCACCTTTGCTTCTCTCCACTGCTTTTGAGAGATTATCGTGCGTTGTCTTTCAAAAATACTTTTATCTTATTAGTTACTACATATGTTTACCGAAGGAAAACATATTGTTTTTGCTCAGTTTCTTCCTCTTCTTCTCTAAACAAATAAGGTCATTAACTTGATCCAGACGTCTGTTACCATGGTAACTAGTGTTGGGTTATATCATGTTGCAATTTTATAGCAGGAGGGATTTAGACTGCTGTCACCATATACGTATATGAATGTGTTTGAGTAAGAATTAACAGAGCAGACCATATGTGAAGGTAAACATTATGCATTTGCTTTGCAAATGTTACCTTTGTAGTTATCAATCTAGTAAGTAAACGCTGAACGGTTTCCACCTGATGCGAAGAAGGCTTTACCCTCGCTATGTGACAGAACAGCCAGAAAACTTCCCCACTTTGGGCGGGCGGAAACGGCTCCTCCCACGTTG